TTTAGTGTATTTTGATGTCAGAATTTTGACAAGTAACGAAAAAATTAGATGAACAGTTTTACTGTAAAACAAACTTGCATTTAATAGTCATAATTAATCTTCATAATGCTGAGACAAAATTTTTGAAAAGTGAAAGCTTCAGAGTTTCCATGCAGTATCAAACTAAGAGCTGAATTTATTTGCCCTGAATTGAATTTTGGTATCAGGAAGACAACCAAAATGTATCGGTGACTGTAGTTTATGATGTGTTATGCAGATACTATTTCAGTTCATATGCATGGACTGAGTTATGAATGAAGTGTCAAATGGCCCCTGGAGGATTATGCTTTAGATAATCACTATAGACAGGGAGGGAAAAGAGTATACAATGTAGAAAGGGAAGTCATCAAAATGTCATCATGAAACTATATAAATCATTATGTGCAAATCTTCAATTAGTAATAAGATGTAACAGTAAAACAATTGCAAAACTATCAAAAAAAGTTGTGATGCCCTATAGCTGTTTGGTTACATCTTTGTTGAACAAATATCCCTTGTTCATTATAGTCAGAAACATTGTGCAAGTTATTCTACAATGTTCATAAGTTAATTTGAAACACTGCTGCCTCTGGCACACATCAGATTCTTTTCAAACCATCAAGGGAGGTACAATTGACATTAAGATCTTTACGAAAAAATGCGTTTACTCTGAACATCAGAGAAAAATTTATGGTCTAAGTTAAAAATATCAAATACCGCATTAATCAGGCTACTATTATGTGGCCCAATAATGAAACATGTCCTTCTGGTGTATTAATCTAAATAGATATCACATCTACCTAGATTTTTTTCCTTATTTTTTTCCTACTTTATCAAATGATGTTGACACACAGCCATTTCCAAACTGCCCTGAGACTCATACTTTCTGTTATCATACAAACTAGAGGAAGATAATAATATTTAATAGAAAATCAGTATCACTTGTTTTGAGTGGCCCTCAGGGATATCAGCAAAGTATAATTACATTTACTATAAAACAAAGCTTAAGGCTTAAATCTGATTCTATAATACAGTAAATTTCCCAGAGGGGAATCGTCTATTTACCTTAACTTGTCATTATTTAGTATGACGAGCTAATACAAATAAAAGTGGTTTGCAGTTAAGGGCCCTAACAACTTACTAGGTGTTTGCATGACTTTGAATAGCTACTGCTATAGTAATATTCTGTGAAAACCTCACAGCAGAACCAAAATAAATGGAAAACACTAAAGATGCTGCTTTAAACTAATTACTTAAAAACACACAGTATTAGAATAAAAATAGTGCAAGTTGGGGTAAAAAATTGCCCTTTCTACAAATGTCATGGTTTCAAGTAGGTTTCTGCAAGAAGCATGCTTGGCAAGATTAATTTTTGACATGTCTTGTTTGATTGACTTAAGGCAAAATAATTTAAAACAGTATATACAATATAGGCATAAGCTTTAAACTCTAGCTGAAGCTAGGAAAGACGAACATGGAGGTGAACAACACAGTTGTATTTTCTTTAACATAATTTGCTTTCATTCATTACCAGAACTATTAAAAATCAGTGGTCAGTGAAGGGTATATTGGCACAATTTTCCCTTGAGAAAAGCAGGAAACTACAGTGTTAATAAGTTCAGAAACACACAGTTTTAAATTAGTCAACTTTCTGATAACTCGACTTCCCTCTGTTTCCAAGTTATTGGTCAAAATGATTCAAAAGTGTAAATGTAAAATGATATCTCCCTAATTTTAGAATTTCCTAAAATATGACACGTTATATTTGCATGCTAACAAAACAGTTGCTTAAAAAATCTGCAATATCCACTGAAATTTGAAGCAATTATTAACATATTTTCTTCAACTAATTTTCAAAACTTAATTGTATGTTGGGGTCTTGAGTTGAAATCTTGAATAACGTTGTATTGCTCTTGCTTTTTTGATGTTGCCAAAATGTCAACTGAAAGATAAACTTTGCTTTGTATTTATAGTTTGCTTCTAAACCTCTTTGCATTTGAATTTAATTGAATTTTCTGCTAAAATAAATGTGTTTCATTTATGCATGTTAATTCTTGCATACTTAAAATAATTTTTGTTTTATGACCCAAAGCATGCAGCAGTTCAAATTTTAACAGCTTGCAAACCTGAATACACTTCTGCAATGTCAAATTTGTATTTGAGTATTTATTAGCTTATTTTTCAGTATAAATGTAAAATACTTTCCGACACTTGGATAACAATATCACATTAGTGCGGATTCCTGATCTCCACTTGGATAATGGCATAGTTTTTTTTCTAAAGTAACTGGAACACAGATTTGCAGCAGTACAATGAGCAACAGCCTTTCAGCAATACCAAGTTAATCTAAAGCCCATAAGTTTTAAATTTGCAGGTGCAATTAAGTAAAACCATAAGAAAATGATTTTGTCAAATGACTTTGCTCTGCTTTAAAAAACTATATATACTATATTTTTGGGAAATTCATATATCTTATTCTAGTTTTTCTCTTAACAACCACAGTGATAAGGAAACTATCAACCAGTTTGCTTAGACATTAAATCCCATATATTTTACCTCTTTTTTCTCTGAACAACTACAAATTAATAGTTATATGGAAACTATCCTCAACACCTCATTTGTATGGATACTAAATGAATGACCATGGCTGTCCATTACAGTTAGTAGACATTTTTAAATTGCCATTTTTCTTTGTCTACCAAGAGCATTGTTGCACATAAGAGAATCACTTCCAAGTTTGAGTCTAAAGACTTTGGTCTTTTCTGTGCCTAAAGGATTCCCTTCCCCATCACCTGTCAAATAACATTTCTGACTCTGAAGTTGATCCCAGGTCATGATTTGGATGTGGGAGTTTCTGGAATTCTTTGTGGAAATGTGAGAGTGTCTATAACTAGTCACACTGACTACATCCAAATGCGTACTCAATCTAACTATTTAGATCTAATGATTTTGATTAAGAGTACACATTTAGGTGTATGTTCATGCTATTGTCTAGCAACTTTACTACTTTTGCTTGCAAAACTGCCACACTCTTGAAAATTTAACTCAAGCTGCTCTTCCCAGGTAAAGAACCACTAAGACACACATTCTAATTTGTCATTAAACAGTTCCAAAAATCTAGGAGAGTGACTGGTTCTAAGGCATATTTCCAGAACACATCTAATATTCATTTACTGCCTTGTCCCAATTTACAGAGTGAACATGCTATTTCTTATTAGTCTAAAGCAGTTTTTGTCTCAATTATGTTGATGTTTGTGTTTTATACAATACAGTAAGTCTCAAGAACACCCTCATAGCTTTTAAGGACTGACAAGTCTACCTTCAAACAGAAGGCAAGGTAACAGCAGTTTGTAAACTGCGAAGTCCTATCAATTGACATACACTTCTACTGTCATGAAAAGACCATTCTGGACTATTGAAATTTGGCATGAATGATGTTTAACATATTGATAAAATGTAGATCGTTTTCTGTTCTTTGCTAATCCTAAGTCAGAAAATTTAACTGCTGATTAAGGTTTCAGTTTTATGTTTAAAAACTCAAATATTAGAAAACATCAAGGAGTTAGTTGAATCGAGACACTTGGAAAAAAGCACCAGTAAACTTTAAGACTTCAAATTTTAGAGAAAGGTAAGGAACCCAGCACCACCCCCCCAATCCTATTTCCACATTTTCAAGCTATGGGTATTCCTGGCTCCTCCCTGAGAAAAATCTTGTCTACTTTAATGATTGTTAAAGACAATAAAATTTCAAGACACAAAATGGAACTCAACTTCCTGGCTTAACCAGAAATCCCTGGGTGGTTACTGTGAAAACAAGACTAGTTAAGATTTCCACAGCAACATGATTAAGCAGAAAACGAGCGAGACATCGTTGTCTATCACGACGGGGCTGACATACAGGAGTGACGCCTGGGAAGTAACTTCTTGGTGCTTTCCAACCGGACAGGGGTCCCCAGGGGCTCTGCACCTCTCCAAAATCTCGCCTGAGTACAGATCCGTAACGCCTCTCCTGACACCAGCAGAGCCGGCTGAGAGACTCAAGCTCGTCCGACCTGCCCAGAGAGTACCAACACTTAATGGAAGCCGCGGCGAATTCACCAGATGGAAAGTGGTGCAGCAGGCACCGAACCTGAAGGAGAGACAGGCTCCTGTGAGGCCCCAAGGCCGCACGCCCGAAGAACTCCAGCTGTGACGGGAAAAGCTTGCCCTGCCTCTTTTCACCACACAACTGACATCGCCTTCCTTCCTCCATCCATGCACACAACACATTTGCTCAGAGCCTTCCAAACCAAAGAAACCTCCAACACAGGCAGCCTACAGGAACCACCAAACTCCCGGCGGCGAAACCTGACCACGAAGTGCAGCCTCCCAGAAGAAGAAAAGATCAAATGAGACCGGCTCAGCGGGGTCTTCCCGAAGTGACCCCGGAGTTAACGTATTTATTTTCACGCTGCAACTGCTCATCACTTTACAGAGACACATCATGCTGAAGCTCTGCATGGAGCTGAGGACAAAAGTAACATTTTAATTAATGTTATCATTATAATTATTATTTTTTAAACAAAGCTATTAAATAATAACCTGTACAAAGCCCAAGCCGGCCCTAGCGAAAACCCGACCACGGTTTCAGATCTCCCGAGGTCCTTCCTTCCCGCCTCCACTCGGCAGCGTTTCCTATATACAAGGCCGGCCCAGGGTGGTCCCCCAAACGGTAGGCCTCCCAGACGGCGAGGTGACTTGGAGTTTGGAACCGCCCTGGCGTACCGTGACCCGAACGGCCTCAGCTCCCATCCCGACCTCCCCGCTGGTGCTGGAAACCGGGTCCTCCTGCGGAGGCCCGGAGGCCGGCTCCGCGTAGGGAGGCGGGCAGCGGAGGGTCCATCTGCGGGGCCTCCCCTCCGCCAGCTGCCACAGGGCCCCCCATCTCCCGTAGAGGGGCTGGCCAAGGGGGGCCGTGGCCTCGGGGGCGCCCCGGGGTGGGCTCACAGGTCCCGCGGGTCCTCCCGCTTGACCCCGGCCTCCGCAACTTTGAGTTTCTTGTTCTGGTGCGTCTTGACGTGCTTGGCCAGGTGGTCGCTGCGCATGAAGCGCTTGCCGCACTCGGGGCAGGCGAAGCGCTTCTCGCCGGTGTGAGTCCGCAGGTGCCGCTGCAGCTCGTCCGAGCGCGTGAAGCTCTTGCCGCAGAAGAGCCAGTTGCACACGAAGGGCCGCTCGCCCGTGTGCCAGCGCAGGTGCGCCTTCAGGTGCGACGTCTTGCCGTACACCTTGCCGCAGCCCGGCACGTGGCACACGTGCTGCTTCTTCTTGCCCGGCTCCGCCTCGGGGGCGCCGCCCGCCGCCTGGCAGTTGGGGCAGCGGCAG